TGAACGACTCGGTAAGGCGACTGGCCTAGTCACTTCAATTTTCGCTCAACAAATATCCATTTTTACTGTCATCAGAATCCCAAACAAAGCCCAAATCACAAGACTACACCTATCATATAATCCCATCTTCAATCAATCATATCGACTTATCCAACTCGTCTAATTCCGCTACCCAGTTCAAGTGAATTGAACTCAACTCATCTCTCCTTTGTTGTCATACACTCTTACCAACCACGATTCCAATCATCACAAGAACCTAAAGCCCTGGAAGAAAACTTCATTCCATCCTAAGATCGCTATCAATAAACGACCATAGGTAGGTAGTCAAAGATTCACGAGAATGACAATAAATACTCCCAGAATGATCAGATCTTCCTCGTTGACCTCTCGAGAGAAACCCCAGAATTTCAACAACTACACTCGGAATCCAGAAATAATTACTGGTCATCCTCACTAAAAATTCCCCCCCATCACAAACGTCTATACTGCAGTTCATCAATAGGTACTTCGTGGTATTCATAGTCCATTATTTCCCAGATATCCAGTTATACATTCACTGATCCTTCTTGATTCTCTCCACATTCTTCTCTCACTCTCACTCTCCCATTCACTCTCTTCTATTTTTCTCCTCTCCTTCCTTCCTCTCACCCTCCAATCCCCCAACCCACACCTTTTCTCTCCCCAACAAATATAAACTCTCAACCCCTAAATTCCCCCCTCCTCCCAAAACTAAACACTCACCAACCCATCCCCAAAACCCTCACCTCCACCCAAACACTCTATCTATACTCTTTATACCAGCATAAACAATATCCAACATCTACTCATATACATCTCAGCATTGCCAAGAACAAAAACGGAAGAATTCTCTACATTCCGATGCCACTGTAGAACTGGGACACCTGTCTAAATCATCCTCGCTAGATTCTCGAATCGTCAAATTTACGACTTGCAGCCCTCTACTTAGATCGAGGCGAAGGTGCTGATTTATGCTGTCGAGATCATGTTGTAGTCTTCGCTATAATATTGGCACAAAATAAATATATCCTCTGAGAATCAACACTCACACATTCGTTCATTCATTCATTCATTCGATTTCGCCAGGATATCATGAAAACAAGTCGATTTGAAGAACAATCGACCCTGTACTCAAACGATCGCAAATTCGTACATTATACTATTATCTAGCAAATTCAGCCAAGCAAATAATTCCATCTTTTGTATATCGGGTACCAGTCTCTTGCCCACTGTCTAACTCCCCAATATATCCGTCTCTGGTAGCAAGTATAGCAGGCGAATTCCCGTCTGTATGCACTTGCTCCCAACTCCCGGATAATTTTCAACCCAAAAGCAACACATATCTATAGCCATTAACCATTAAGGAAAATCATACTTCGTAGCATAATCAGACTTCGTATTCTCTGTGTTTTTAACAGGATGAAGCAGGAGTGGAGGAAGACACGGCCTGCCATGTATTTTCTCCCACTGTGTACGTACGTTAGTTACTGTGCACGAGCCAAGCCAAGATTGAAACATACCTCAACCCCACCAATTCCATGATCTTCCCATCCCATCCAATTATTATACAATCTACCTGGGGGAATAGCTCTATAATACCACGTCATCCCCAGAAATCTTTCTTCTTTACCCCAACCGTATGGACTATCCGACGAAATACCACTTTCTCCCTTCGGTCCAGGGTTAAACCATTTGTTTAAACTCGTCCCATTCCAAGCTCTGTCAAAGAATATAGGAAGTGGTGCATATACTGCTTTCAATCCATGGAGCAGAGCGACCGTCTGGGGTGTCATTTCGCTGCTGACATGATTCCCCTTAAGATTTTCAGTGTGCATAGCATCCAGCAACTCCTTACTACACATTGAATGTGTGATGATGGTTGTACGACGAGGAGTATCATTTCGTCCATCGAATCCCCAGACATCGTTTTTTCCAACCCATCCAGTGCCATTTGGATTGAACATTGGTGCAACAGATATATAATCTGCCACTTCGCCAACGCCCCATTCATAATTGTCTAGTGCTGGGTCTGAAACAGGCGGCGGTGGACCAGTAGGAATGACATTTGCAATTCTTGGTGGAGCCCATATCGTATCTTTGCCCGAAAGAATTTCAACTGACTTGCGAAACTCAGTATTGTAAGAACCATGTATCGATGGAATATAGTATCTTTCATTTCGTTCCCACAGGTATTTCCTTGGTTGGTCCATTCCAAACTTGGTGAGTCTCTCGAGAAGATCATAATGATTGCCAGTATATCGAGTGTCCATTTCCCAATTCCAATAAAAGTCAAATTGTGGATAATCAAGTGCAAAGATCTGAACGGGAAGCCATTGAGATTGATGTACATTGGTAATCTTTTTCGGAATGAGTGGGTAGAATCCCTGTACGTAAGCTTCATTCCAAAGCACCGCGATGTCATGAAATTCTTTGGGGACATTTTTTTGAAGAGCTTCAATGTAGTCTGCGTCACTCTCAATGGCAATGGTACTGTTTCTGATATGAACCAGCAAGAAAACCTCGTACTCCCCTCCAGATTTCAAAGCTAGCTCTGTAATAAGCAAACGAACGTTTTGCTTGTCATTGTCGTTCCACTTCTTTCCAGAGTAAGATCGAAGCATAATCGCTGTACGTGATTTGAAGGGCTCTTTTGCATCAATTGCGGCTTTGGCAGCCTTTGCTAGGTGAGCCCTAACGAAATGATCTTTCGGCTCATTCTCATCATCCTGGTTTTGATTAATGATAGTGCCAAGTACTCTCTTCTTGGTGTTGGTTTCTTTTGTCTTCGAGTCATTCCATGCCGACGATGAATTTTGAGCAGGGATCACTATTTCTCCGTTAAGTGGTTCAGGATTCTCGGAAATCAGGTATCGGTTCCTGTTCTTTTCAACACATTGAGTTTGAAGCGATCCCCAGTTAACATCATCCCATTGTATTTGTGTAGGCATATCGCGTTTATGCTGAATCTTCCCAGCAAGTGGACTAGTACTAATCGGTTTCATGAGGCCTTCCATATATCCGTATAAGCCGAGCCTGGTTTCTCTCTCGAAGCATAAGTTACTGTCAATATCAAATAGCGAGAATGATCCCATCTGCGGTTCTTCGAAGACTTTCGAATGTCCTGAGAACGCCAAGATATTTTTGACTGGTCCATCTGCTCCATCACATGGCACATAGAGTCCTTTATTTTTTGACCTCCAAATTTCACTATTATAGTCGGGATATGGGTTGTACTCAAGTGGTTTCGATTTGCTATACGATTTCCAAACATCAATCTCTTTGAGGACAGACAAGTGAGATTCAGTATGCGAGCCCGCTGATATAACTTCATTTAGTGTGTTCCCGTAAATTTGGCCCGCACTTAGTTCCCTGACAAAGATATTCAGCAAACAGACATTCGAAGAGAGCTATTACAAACTTACTGTCCAAGTATCGCCTTCTCTTTCACGAACTCATCCTGAAGGATGGACGTGGCAGTTGAAGTTGAGGTTTGTGAAGAGGATGTCGCTGTTATCGTGGCCTCGTGGTTTTGTATTGACAAATGAATGGTAACTCTGCTGCTCACAATCGCAGGTTCGATGACGGTCGGCGGATCAATTGGCGCTTTTGGTGGAGCTTGGAACAGGTCCTCTTGTGGCTTTGGGACGTCAATTACCAGAGGATCGATAATTTGAATGGTAGGTACTTGTTCAAACCCTGGTCCTTTCACAATTTCCGTCGTCACTGTACCTTTGTATTGTTCAACCACATGGCTTACAATCTTTCCGCGATTTCTTAACAACGTCCAAAGAATGAAGAGAGCCCCAATGGCAGAGAAGAGACTACTCCTATACCGTAGAAGCATTTTATTTAAAGAAAGGAATGAGGGTTTTAATGATTGACTGAAGGAATTATAAGAAATGAATGAGCGTGAAGATGGAGAGAAAGATCAAAACCCCATCTCTGATATGAAATGGAAATCAGTGGAGGTGAAGTGAAGAGAACATTCGATTTTTCTTCCGTTTGCTCCAAGTACCAATTACCAAGTATGCTTCACTTGGTAGCACTAGGCAGATACTAGATAGGTACCTACCAGGTAGGTACCTAAGAATTGCCCTTGAAAGGGAAGGAACTTCTCTCCTCTCTGCTCTGGTGAGAACATTAACACGTGACCTTCAATCTACATGATCCGTGCATAACCTTAATCTGATCACAACGACCTTCCCGCTCCGTCAACTTTAATTTCTTTCCTTCCTTCCTTTGCGGGTAACGACATGAATGACAACGTATCACCATTTGTATCATTTTATACCGGTCACCTTTCAAATATGGAAGAACTAGTTGGCTTAATAGTGATCTATCATCGAACGGCAATTCAGTCGGTGATCCAATTTATCGGCTTCGTGCACATGCAATTTTAACAACATATGCAGTCATGCTTCTCCAAGAGGTTATTGGTTAGCATTTTGGCTGCTCACCATCCCCTCGCAAGATGATGAAAGCTCAGCGATTGCACTTCGTGATGATCAGCGTATTTCATCATCTTAATGAGCCATGATCTACATGGTTCTGATTATCTGTCGCAGTTTGCATTTCGCAGGGTGCTGGTGGTGGCTAATCTGGCAGAAGTTCGTGAGGGGTAAAATGAATAATAGTAATACAATCTTGGCAAGTGCCCCGATAGATTGTAATGCCGCCCTCGGTACTTGACTCGTTGACTGTCGAAACAACGCGTCGAATCGTTCACACAAAAGCGGTGGTGTCACCCATATCACCACTTGCGAGCCTATCAGATTGTCTCTTATCGATTATTCCGGGTGATACATGCCTAGGGAATATGCATCATTTGCTTAACAGGGACACACTTTGGAGGATCTTTTAGTGACGTATCCAGTTGAAGATCATCTCCTCGGTACTTTGAGGTATATCTGTATGATGGATATCCAGCTTCTGTTGCTCGATGTGATGTGATGTTCAATGTTATCTGCCATCGTTCAGTCAAAATGCTTCTCTCCAATCTTGATTTTTACCCAACCTTGAATTTTCTGGTTCTGACAGTAGTTACTTCTATTGCCTATCGTATAATTTATAATTTATACTTTCATCCTCTAGCAAAGTTTCGTGGGCCGTGGTACACAGCTTGCTTCTCTCTTCCTCTAGCAATTATTTCGTTGAAAAGATGGGAGCATCAATGGGTATTTGATCTGGTCAAGAAGTATGGAAGTATGTCAATCTCTTCAAGTGCTAATGATCACAGCTAATAATGTTTAGGGGATGCACCAATTCGTGTTGCCCCTGAGATTCTCCTTTTCCCAAGACCATCCGCATTGAAAGAGATATATTGGGATCGAAGTCTTAACGAAAAGTCTACTTTCTATGGTACTGGTCTTTTTGGTCCACCAAATTTATTCACTTCCCTTTCATCCGTAGACCATACACCTTTAAGAAAAGCATTAGGGGCCGGACCGGTAAGTTTCATGCCCATTATCCATGAAAATAAATCAACGACCTTTCTCTTATCTCGGCTGATTCAGGAGCTCGTTATGTTATTGCTGACATGAAATATCTAGTGGGCAATCGGAGAATTACGGAAAGATTGGGAAAAAAGCATGGATGATCAAGTCCTCATTTTCACTTAAGTTATGACTGAAAAGGCAAATGCAGGTGAAACAGTTGATCTTTGTGACAAAGTAGCGTAAGTTATTCTTTGTCTCAAGTATTAAAAACATTAGCTTACCCTAGACAGACAATTCTCAGCCGAGATAATGACCGTCTTCTCGTTTAATCAACCATGGGGCTTCGTGAAAGATAGTCGAGATGAACGAGGGCTACTTCATAGCTGGAGAGAAGGCCTTGATTTCATTGGTTTCTCGGCCAGATTCACCTTTTTTCGAAAACACATTCTCAACCTTCCGGGAGTTGCTTCATGGGCATTACCCAAGCCCAGTGTTCAACGTGGTATGGGACATTTAATTCACGAAGCCGACCACGCCATCACACAGCGCGAATATGAAATATCTCAAGGCATATATCCAGAGAAACCGGACTTTTTACAACAGTGAGTATCTGCATCTCGGAGTGTCGTCTACGGAGCGTTGTACTGAATCTCGTAGTTGTCTTGACGCAAGAATCAACGACGAACCACTTACTCCCCTACAAAAACGGTCTCACGTGACCCTTCTCATCCAAGCCGGCGCTGACACAACCGGTACTGCCCTCGGCGCCATAATCCGGTTCTTAGCTACAACACCTGGTTGCTATTCTAAAGCATTAGCCCAAATACGTGAGGCCGAAGCGAAGAATTTACTTTCAACGCCGATCCAGGATGAAGAAGTACGAGCTCATCTTCCATACCTAATTTGTGCTGTCAAAGAAGGCATGCGCTTAAATCCCAGCGTATCTAACTGGCTTCCGAGAGTTGTTCCGCCAGAGGGGAAGGTTATCGATGGATTCTTTGTGCCAGGGGGGACGGATATTACGTGTCAGGCTATGGTCGTACAAAGGGATCCAATTTTGTTGTAAGCATACGCTTTGGTGCCTTCTCTCCATTCTCTGCTTCCTATTCTCTTCTATCTGTTTCCGCTGACACGGAAAAGCGGCCCCGACCCAGATGCCTTTAGGCCAGAGCGCTGGATGGATGGTAAAGATGTAGAATTAGAACATGGTATGTTTCTCTTCGGAGTGGGGCCAAGAGGTTGCTTGGGAAAAGAGATTGCATTTATGGAAACATATAAGTTGATTTCCGAGGTTAGTGATTTGATTCCGTTTGCTTTTAGGAACATTCAAAGTTGGAGAATTGGAATAGTACTTGATAAGGTAAATGGGCAAATAAGAATAGACAATAGGTGGATATTAAGTGGAAAAAGGAAGAGAAATTGAAGGAGGGTTCGATCAGGATATTACTAGTGAGATGAACTAACATACTCTCTAAAGATCGTCCGACGTTTCGATATCGAAGTTCTCAAGGAGGGAATATACACTTCCGCAGGTGGAGTGTCATACAACGAGGATTTCATCGTGAAAATGCATCCACGCACAGCGGATTGAATGGATTTTTCTCCGAGCTAATTGGAACTTGTCCATAAGAATTCCGAGCTTGGAGTGGTTCTCTGGCCTGTTATGATTGGAGGGCTGTATCTAGCCAATTGGAGCTTTTTATTTAGCTTAGCTTTTCTTTCGTCTCTGTCATGGGCGTGGAAAGAATGATCAGTGGTATTACATGACCGATTTCCTAACTTAACGAATCAGATATATTGAGAAATTTATCATCGCATAGCTTAGTCCATTCTGCATGTCGTCCTGGTTTTCAATATATATATATATTCAACCCACATACGAGGACCAAACACAGCAAGTTTATCAAAAAGAAATTTTCACAAGATTAGTTTCCAATTCATGATTCTATGACTCTGATTTAGGAGAGCCCAGATGTGAAATAATATAATTTGCCCCGGAAAATGTTTCACCAAAAGCCATCGTGATCGGGTCATGAGATTTTTCACTGCGCCCCAGTATTACAATGCTTCACAAGACAAGTCTACAGCATTAGCGTATTACAAAAAGAAATTGACTGGTGCACATTACACAGTTGAAGCTTTGGATGTGGTAAGTTTGATTGCACTGAAGATCTGAGCACGGTTTCACCAAATTGACATGCACATGATTGAGTAAACTCCTAAGCGATCAATATTTACTCGATCCATAGAACCTTCTAACCTCCGTTGCGTTTCTTAATTCCACACTTCGTTTTATTCTACAATACTAGTAGAACTCGCCAACTGCATCTAGAATTGTTGTAAGTATCTCTAGCCCAACAATGCCAGATAACGAGGTAACATGCACTTATTTCGGTGGAATTGACTGTGCAGTTGATTTGATACCCGTTTCAGAAATAAGTGTGATTCCAGCTACAAAAGCGATGACTTTATCGGCGGAAATAATGATGTCGACAGTTCGCCACCAATCATGAATTGATTACAGCTGGTACTGGTCGTGCATCGACAATCGAAACCGCCCAGGGACATTTTCGTCGTCAATTGACGAGGGGAGAAAGATTCGGCGCCGTTATATGCGAGCCTGTGGCTTTCAACTGGTTAATCGGCATGATGCTGGTTGTCTTCTATCGGTGAGGAAAACGAGTAAAAAGGTTTGAAGAGGGACTCTCAAGGATACAGTAATGTGGAGCTGGATTCTAGACCACTTCAACCACGTTTTGCGAAAATTGACGACTTAGGAATGTACCAGAATTGGGGGTTGCAATTGTGAATGAGCTTCCAGATAATTTTAGCGCGGATATCCCCATAAAATTAAAAGGGGGAGGTATTTTTCCATGAGATTGGTCAAGGTAGATGCAGGAGCCGGCAAGAGTTCTCAACCCTTGGACTGTTTCCGAACTTTGAGCGGCTTCGACTGTTTCTTCGCTATTCGTTCCCTCTCTTTCTCGGCTGGATCGACAATCAAAGTCTTAAACACATCATCATCCCTATGAGTTAACTTTTTCTCACCTAGATCATTGTTAGTGATGCCTCAAACCAGGATTGTGGGGACCGCTTACAAAATTCCGTATATGCGATCTTAAGTTCCGAGAAAGTATTCGCAAGCATGGGAGCATCTGGGGCTACTCTTCCGGCAGCTTCAGCTTCCCATTCAGTGGTCAGTGGTGTATTGTCGCCTCTGCAAAGAGTGCTGAATGCCACAGCCAATTGCTTGTACATGAAACCACATTGTTCGGATCGTTTTTGAGGATCTGTTTTTCCGGGGTGAATGCAATTTTTCAGGTCTTCATCTGTCTTGCATCTTGGAAGATTAGATCTCAACTCGATTCGTACGACTCGTTCCCGATAGAAAAGCATCAGTCTTAACAAACATATACCGGCAATAATGCGCGTTTGTTTGTTGCTTGCAGACTTCTTGCAGAGATTTTCAATTTCGGAAAAGAAATACTTTTCAGCTTCCTCGAGACCCTCGGAGGCTTTGAGGCGGACTTGTTCGCGGACGGTATCTGGAGAGAAAGTATCATTGATTGTGTTGACTACATCAAGCTGGCCATGGGGATGGCAATGGATATTCGCCACTCCATAGAAAACAAGGCTATTTAAGCTCGTGATTCTGAATGCAGCATTACATAGACATGCCTGTCATTGGTCAATCAAAATCCAAATATTCTTAAAACAAGAAAACTCACCAGGTGCGACCCAAAATATTGTTTGCAATAGATGTAAAGAAATTTATCCAAGATGTGGGTTATTTTACCAGAATGACTCTCAGGAGAAGATAGAAGAATTTCCCTGCCGAAGAAATCCAGTTCATCAACGGTAGGCAGTGAGTCTGGGACAACTAGATATGTCTTATCTCGCAACGACTTGTGCGTTATGTAAACACCATTCATTTTTGTCAAACTTCTCCACCGGCAGAAATCCTCAGATCTACAAACCATCACTTTACAGGGAAGTGAGCGACATGGAAAATTTTCCATGGAACAGTCGGCACGAAGTTCAACCTTTGCCATATGACCTTCAAGCGCACTAAGTAGCTGATATACTTGCGCTTTCCCAGACGTGAGCAATCTGGTTTGAACATCTATGTTGAGTCAGTATCTAGAAGAGTATCTTTGGGTGGTTCTGGCTACCTGTGACTCCAAGGTACACATCTTTCAATTTATGTCGGATGCAAATTTGTCGAGCCATAAGTGGATCACCAGCCAACTTGAAGCATCGATCACAAACGCCATCAGATGTACACTGCAATATTAGATCCTTACTCCGGTGACGAATATAGAGATAATTAACTCAACTTACCTCGACCTTACGAGCTCGACAACTTTGACACGCTCCAGCTTGTCTAACCAAATGAACTTTCAGCTTTTCCCGTCGATTGAACTCTTTTCTTTTTCTCTTCGGCGCTTTTACTCCACTATGAAAATTTATCAAACAGTCTTCCATGTTTTGAGGAGTTGCCACAATTGTTCCATTGAGGGATGAAGTTGCTTGATCCTCAGCATGGGGGGATTCTATCCGAGACTCTGATGGTACCGATTCGGGCACCTCCTTTTTAACCTCATCAATTGGCGAATCTCTTTCAGATGCACCACTATTCAAGCCTCTATTCTTAAAAGAAATCTGAACTTTAGATTGAACAGGCTCACAAGGTATTTGCGGCTCTGCAAATGAATTATCTTCCGAAGAGGGGTAAAGTATCGACTCGGGTGACTCAAGAAATGATGTAAGCCACCCGTCAGACTCGAGATTTGGAAGATGACCACCAAGAGTATTGCAACTATTGAAAGAGAAATCCATTGCAGCTGTCTCCGAAAAGTAAGTGCTTGAAACATTATTGTTAGCCGTATCAAATGCCGAAGGACCATTGCCTGGCTCTACAATGGATTGAGGCGGAAGGACCGGGTCCACCATTTGCCATTGAGAATTGATATCTAAATTATCCTGTAAGAATGTATCCATATCAAAAGCAGAATCTGGAAACGTCATGAATGACTCCAGCTCCTCGTTCGTGATGTTTTTCTCCTCAAAAGATAATTCCTCAGCATCGTGTAGGCCTTGGATCGTCATCCGGGGTAATTCTCCATTGATGCGAGACTCCATTATGCAGGATTGTGAGTCTGCTTTGCATGAATATGTGGGTGGCAGGAGACGATAGTCACAATTGATAAGATAGTCTAGCCTCCGAACTGAATAGCTGCGAGATGATCTTAGTTTTTATACCACTAAAATGTGAATGGTATCTCGAATCTCAAAAGAACATTGCTTCAATCAGGAGTTAGTGGGGCGAAAATTTTATCTGACTACACCCGTGATTATGCGGAAAAGAGTACCGAAATAATGCCGTTGAAGCCGACGGCTACAAACAAAACTAGCGTAGAGTATTCTTCTACAATGTTAGAAGATCGAATCAAGTAGAAGTATCTTCTTCTGGATCAGTGAAATGAATGAATGATGGCAAGAATACATTAAACGATTAATAATGGGCATCGACCATAACTCGGATGTTCCGGCTGCGTCGGATATATCGGTTCATAACCGGGCCGGCAAATAAGTTCTACTTACCCGATCAAATATCGGAATGCCCGGGACTCCATAGACACTGTCGCAAAGATGTTCATGCTCGATGATGGAATTTGAAGTCCTCGATGTAAGGAAACCATAAACTGGTCTAGTCCTGGCAGTATTCGTGCTCTCAAAAGGAACACGATAGGCCATTCACTGAGGCTACAACTATAGCACAACTATATGCGAGTGCAGCGGAACTCAAGGCGAATGGGAAGCTTCTGAGGTCCAACATAGATGTAAACGCATTAAGATTCATACAGAACAGTGTCACCAAGGAAGTAGAATATGCACCTTGGCACCGATTTCGAACATATCCGGCCATGAGAACAAATTCATAGATTCGGAAATTTTTGAGAGGAAAATTAAAGTTTTTAATGGTCTTCATGTAAGATCCGGGGAAGTTAGCAGATTAGTAGAGAAATGGTCTCAGAATGGAACTCAACCGAGAATGGACTCAGGTGAGAATTGACCAGGCATTATCTCGTGCCCCCTCATCTCTCAAAGGATTCACTTCCCTGTCATTAGCAAAATAGTGTTATTGTGGGGTAGAGACTAGCGAGGGACCAAGACAACCCGTCATCTTTCATGCAGAATTCGCGGGGATGAAGACAAAATGAGGGGTAAATTGTGTAAATCGGCCCGTTCAATTTTGCGCATTGCTTCTTCCAATAGTAAATTTAAACTAAGTACTTCTATTGACGGCCAGCGGCCGAGGAAAAGTATACTAAAGTATTTTCGTCTCTAGCGATCTTCGTCGTCTTCGCCTATCAAAAAATTATCGAGATGTGATTCACCCCAAGACCTGCATACACAATGGCGTTCTAGGAATTATCACTTGCATGTCAAAACTTGTTGTCAGCCTGTCTCATGCACGGTTACATCCGTATACGTGCAAGCTTCCATGTCGACCACAAGTGAATTTCCTACTTTGAATTTGCCCCTTAATACCCCGTCCAGGTCTACGGAGTATAAGAAGTGACAGATATTTGGAAAAATCAATCAATATCGTCAAGTTAATCAACATGGTCAAAACCATACTTTTTTGGCTGTTGTTTACAGCAAGGGCTGTTTCAGCAGCAAATATTGACTTCTTACGTCGTGATACAAGCCACCATCCTAATACCACACTTCCTCTCTCGAAATGTCCAGGTTACAAAGCTTCTAATGTCAAGACAACAGGATCAACACTTTCCGCAGATCTGACTCTGGCCGGCCCTGCTTGCAACACTTACGGTACTGACCTGAACAGTCTATCCTTAAAAGTGGTATATGAAACAGGTTGGCAAGCTACAAATCAATACTACTATTCTTGCTAACTACTACTAGATGATCGCATACATGTGCTGATTCAAGATCCAGCCAATGTTGTGTACCAAGTTCCCGAATCGGTCTTCCCTCGCCCTACTGGATCGTCGGCCAATCCCAAGGATGCCAATATCAAATTCCATTATGTTAGCTCCCCGTTCTCATTCTCGATTACACGAGCAAAGACAGGCGAAGTCTTGTTCGACACTTCCGCTGCGAGTCTTGTATTCGAACCGCAATACTTGAGATTGAGAACGAAATTGCCGGCCAACCCAAATCTGTATGGTCTCGGCGAACACTCCGATGCGTTTCGTTTAAACACTACCGATTATGTTCGCACACTGTGGTCTCGTGACGCCTATGGAACTCCTGCAGGTAGCAATTTATACGGAAACCACCCGGTATATTTTGAACATAGGACTGGTGGTACTCATGGAGTGTTTTTAATGAATTCTAATGGTATGGATATAATGATCAACAATACAAATGGGAAAAATCAGTATCTTGAGTATAACACTCTTGGGGGTGTTTTAGATTTTTACTTCCTAGCCGGACCCGATCCAATTGTTCTGTCTCAACAGTATTCAGAGCTTGTTGGCTTACCAGCAATGATGCCTTATTGGGGTTTTGGGTTCCATAATTGTCGTTATGGTTATCAAGATGCTTTTGCAGTTGCAGAAGTTATCTATAATTATTCGAAGGCAGAAATCCCTCTGGAGGTTATGTGGACAGACATTGATTATATGGATGCAAGAAAGGTAAGGAGTATACCATGCCTGAAACACACATAGCTAATTCTGAAAGACTTTCACTCTCGATCCTAAGCGCTTTCCATTAGATATGATGCAAGACATCAATCACTATCTTCACAATCACGACCAAAAACAAATTCTCATGGTCGATCCCGCAGTTGCATATAAAAATAACCCTGCTTACGATCGTGGAGCTGTCGATGATGTTTTCCTCAAGCGAGGTAATGGATCTTTCTGGCTTGGCGTCGTATGGCCTGGAGTAACTGTATTCCCAGATTGGTTTTCCAAAAATGTCGTGAGCTGGTGGAACAATGAGTTTTCTACATTCTTCGATCCAGCGACTGGCGTTGATGTTGATGGACTATGGATCGATATGAATGAACCATCAAATTTTCCATGTTACTTCCCATGCGATAATCCATATGCATCAGCAGTAGGATTTCCGCCTGATCCACCTGCAGTCAGAACACCACCTCGTGCATTACCTGGGTTCCCCTGCGCATTCCAGCCTTCTGGTACAACCAATTGCACAGATGCAAGCAGCAGACGATCAATTACTAGCAGAGATCCCAAGATTGTCTTGCCGACTCAAGTAAATCCCGCAAAACGAGCATTAGGGGCACAGCAAGGTTTGCCCGGACGCGATTTACTTTACCCCGGGTACGCAATCCATAATGCTGCGGCGTATCTCCCTTCCTGGAACGCCGCTAAAGGAGGAATTTCCAACCAAACAATCAATACAGATGTAATCCACGAGAATGGTCTCACTATGTACGACACCCATAATCTTTACGGGACCATGATGTCCACCGCTTCCTATGACGCAATGGCAAACCGCCGGCCGGAAGATCGTCCTTTGATCATTACACGCAGCACATTCGCCGGTGCGGGTACCAAAGTAGGTCATTGGCTTGGAGACAATTTCAGTGACTGGCTCCACTACCGTATGTCCATCCGTGGCATGTTAGCTTTTGCATCTATATATCAAATTCCCATGGTTGGCGCCGATGTATGCGGATTCGCGGAAGACACTAACGAGGAACTATGTGCTCGCTGGGCTATGCTCGGTGCTTTTGCCCCATTCTATCGTGATCACAACAGTTATCCCCCAGTGATTAGCCAGGAATTCTATCTCTGGCCTGCCGTCACCGAAGCAGCTAAAAAGGCGATCGATATACGGTATCGATTGTTAGATTACATATACACAGCTTTTTATCGACAATCCGTTGATGGAACACCACTCATCAATCCTATGTTTTACATTTACCCATCCGATCCCGCCACCTTTGGATTGGAAACACAGTATTTCTATGGGCCGGGAATTCTCGTTAGTCCAGTCATGGAAGGTAATTCTACGACTGTGGATTTGTATCTTCCGAAGGATATATACTATGATTTCTACACGCATGCTCAAGTGACTGGCCATGCAAACACAATTCAAATTACCGATCAAAATATCACAGATATACCCCTTCATTATCGCGGTGGAGTCATCGTTCCTCAACGTATCGAAAGCGGAATGACGACCACAGAAGTTAGGAAGCAAAACTTTGAGATTATTGTTCCAGTTGGTGATGATGGAACAGCAAAAGGAGAGTTATATCTAGATGATGGAGTAAGTATTGTGCAACAAGGATATTCATTAATTGAATTCTACTGGGATGGCAAAACTTTTGATGTATCCGGGCACTTCGGATATGATGCTGGGGTAAGTATTGAGAGGGTAGTGTTCTTAGGCTTGACCAGTAGCACTGGAAAGCAATATAGCACAAATGCGAATACGCAGGTTAGTGCTCAAGGCGATATAGTTGTGAAGGTTGCAAAGGAATTAAGTGGGGGATTTTCAATCGCAGTTTAAGGTTAAAGAAGGGAATACGAGGGTCTTGGTGATGTTTAGTGATGAGAATGGCGAACGGCGGTACATAACAGCTTGTTGTTGCAACTAATTTCAATGAAATTGAGTTTTGGATATCCCTGGTGAATTTTCATTTATCACACTGTATGACAGGATAGAAAGTTCTTTGTGTACATCGTCCACGTCTCACCAGATAGTCAAGTATTACTTCAAGAGTCTGTTACCGGAGTTTACCGAGATCTTAGTCGTTGTCAGGGCGTTGTTTGCACTCCCCAGATAGTCGGAAGATAGATTAATGTTACATTCTGAACTTCAAAATTGCCGTGGGATTGCAAAGAGTCGCTGACGACGTGAGTCATCGTCAGTTTGAACAGGCAAAACGAAGGATAACTGAACCTGAATATGTGGTATTCCTGACTTGTGGGATATATGAATCATGGCACCTCATTATTGCTTCGTTTATTTATTTAGGGCTATAAATAATCCGGTTGAACCTCATACATTCTCATCAATCACATCAACATTGCCATACACCGTATATCCCATCAATCATCGATATCTACCTCTAAGACAAGAACCAAATTTAGAATGTCAGACCAGCCTATGTGCTTCATCTGCGAAAGGATGATGTCTAGGCCGAGCTCAGCGCAACGAGTGAGTATTCTATTGACCTCGCTCAGCTCATACTAACGCAACTCGCAGGTCATCCTCTCACATCCAGATGAATTGCAACACTGTTTGCTCTGCAATCGAATATTCTGTGCAACACACAAAGCGGTTGAAAACAACACTATTTGCGAGATCAACCATCAGAGTTATTTTCGCAATCACCCGCAATTGCATGGTACGGGGACAATTTTTCGAAACATGGAACATCGAAACATAGAGATGGATCCGTCCAATGCTGGGTTGGATCGGGCAAAGAAAGTGATGATGGAGAGAGAAGCAATTAAACAAAGAGTAGAGGAAGAAAAAGGAGGATCGAAGAAGCGGCTAAGAGAGAAGGGACAAGCGAGGAATTTGCAAACCATGAGTAAACTTGGAAGTGAAGGAAGGCTCTCAGGGCACTACTGTCTCAGATGCAACTTGCAATTAGGCGGATCTTGATTTCTGGGTGTAGATACTTAGCTAAGCGCGGCTCCAGTTGAGGAATTTGGGGAAGCTGAAGTCAGCAGCGATCGTGGACAGGTCTTTGCTCAATATTGAATAAGTACATACTCTGCGAATATAGCTTCATATATCATCAGTAGCTAGGTTCACAAAATTCAAGTGCAATCGAGGGATCTGATACATTGATAATATACCATTGTTGAACAAGGTATTTAGCTTCGCTACTCTTCGAAGCGAAAGAATTTCTCTCATCCATCTCCTAACCATTCATGAACTGTTAACTTTTAAGATCTTCACAACCTATGAGGTTTCTCGTCTATATTCTACGGAGAGATGCTCCACATATTGTGCACAGCGATCTCTCTGGTTTCAAGCGACCTCTTCGCAAACAGATATTCCAAAAATCTATTTCCACTACATCAGCAGGTCATCATATAACCACACAAGATAAGACGGCACTTACTCCCACCTTGCAGCAAAGTGCAAGTGCTTCTTCACCGTTGCAAAACTTTTTGCATTCGTCATCAGTGGTTAAAACTGCATTTCCGGACAGATTTATACGATTCTTAGTTATCTAAATCAGCATCAATAGCAAAAATGGGGTTACCAAAGTACTATTCTCCCTGGAACAAATTCGACCTCGATTTCAGGTTCTAAATCGTCCAAAGCCTGGAGCAGTAACTTTCAGTTTTTGAAAGAGCCGTCTGGAATGGCGGTGGAACATCAAGCCACCCTACTAATATTTACCTTTTGAGAAATTATTCCGAGTTATGGCCAATTAATTGAAATATAATAATTAAACTTTCAAGTCTCTGTAAATCCAAAATTAGGTTCAAGCATAATCTGTAGAGTATTAGTATTACATAGAATTTTTTCTTTTTTCTTTTTTTCCTTTCAAATCTTGACTCCTCAATACTCAAATCTCATAGAACATGAATTGGAAAAAGCGGAAGTTTTCTGGTCGGGCAAAATTCCAGCGCTATTTCAGAAACCCCCTTTTGGAGACAACCTTCATCCTGTGTGTCCCAACCAATTATAACGTTAATTTTGCAACTTATAGTCTTTCAACAATTAAAAAGTATATGCATAAAGAAAACGATCGACCGTTTCTATCTGAGATGTGCTGTGGCGTATAGCAAACAGCTGGCAATGGAGTTCGGGGTACTTTAAAATATCCATGTACGAGACAATTAGTCCACCGCAATTACACGTTGTTGGGACAAAATGGCTTACATTTACAAAGCTTGAAAGACAAGGCAATATCATTTCATCACTCTTGCGAGACTGATACCAATCGTCTCTATCTTTGACGTCATGTTTGAAGTCCTTCGGAATGAAGTTGATCGGTTCGGCATCACTTAGGGCTAAGGGCAATCTAAAATTCTTAAATGATTTGATAAACTCAGTAATCGCTTCCAATATATATCCAAGCTGCTAGGCGACAAAGAAACTTGAGAGCATGGCAGCGCTAAATCAACAACAAAAGCGAAGACAGAATTTCGCGAGCTTGTATAACATCGACAGGAAAATTTCAATCTATAGCGGTTTTCGGTGAGCAGAGAAGAGCAGAGCAGAGCAGGACTGATACAGTATTCCACGAAGATCGCAGAAGCCAGAAACACTGCCAGAACTTAACGTCGGACTGCCCATTGACCTCAAGTGGACGTTATGTTCGTACTGATAAACACAACTTGTACAGCGGCAAAACTTCTTACTGTCAGTTGAAGTGCATATGTGAAGTCAGAAGACATACGCTGAAGTTGCGGAGAAAACCTCAACCAATCTTCCATCCGTCATGAACCATAGACACACGGAAAATATTGTGGTGAAGATTCCAACGAGTGCTAAACGTTTCACCATCGAAGCGACTAGATACAGTACTACGATTGTCATCACAGGAAGTATCGATGCCATAATGACACCAAAGAATGACACAATACGAAAGATTACAGTATCGCAGTAGTCAACTATATTCGACGCATAGTCTGTCCTCTCGATATCTGGTTTCTGCAAACTGAGTTTTAGAAAAAGCCAATGGTTCATATTTGGGGAGTGGAAATCACCTTGTAAAATCTTCCTACAGAGTAATGGTATATGGGTGTGATTGTATTGGCCCATAATTCGAAGAATATGTTCTCGGGTACTTTTTCCTGAATGGCAACCAGATCCTTTCCATCAGCCCAAATATTCCGGTCTCTTCCAATCAGAAAAACACCACCCAAGGAAGGACGTTTCATCCATTCCTGGAATTTAGCCAAGTGCTTTGGATGCGGTGATGAACTTCTTCGAGATCTGAGTCCAGAGGAATACGGATTCATCTAGTATCAGGTTGTGGTCAGTTCGTGGGCTCAAACTCGTGCAGTACACACATACTGTATTCTCTCAATTTCTCCCGGATCTTTAGTACTAATTTCCATTGCTCTTCCGACCCATCTACTTCATCGGCAGTACTTAATTCAAACCAGTCCCTACCCCAGCATCTGGTGATCTATCATTGGCATTTTCTAACTCTTTTAGGTCTATTTGGAGTCCAAAAATCTCGGCTTGGAGGTAAATAATGTTTTGAATGTTCAATTCTGAGAATCGTGATACAATTGCAGATTCGGGATATTTGCTCATAAAACTTGCTATTTTGTTATATCCTCTCATAATTGCTGGTTTATTGTAGTTGAAGCAGTTCGGGATGTCTGCGTAGCACTGAGCCTGATCAGCAGCTGACTACTCCAGCCACAATCAGAGTTGCAGCCGCACTATCGCATTTGTATCTCTGAAATTAACAACAACAGACCTAGATTCTCAACAACTCTCTGAAATCAACAACAGACTTAGATCGCCAACAATGTTTGAAAGTTTAACGGAGACGGCTTTGACCACCATCCCAGGAGAAAGGACGTTTGAGGAGGTAAAGGTGCGTCTTTTCGAGAGAGCTAGCCCATCAGCGGCCCTTGAAGTTGACGACACCAGACTTGGGTCGTCAATAATGGTTGGAAGTTCAATGGAGACGGTTTCGACCATTATCCCGGGAAGATCGCCGACTGTGGATCACATCAAGTTGTTTCACTGCAATCTTCTTAAACAAAAGCTTCTTCATAATGATGATGCTTGGCAAACACATTCAATTCCGTTTTACCGGGGTGTAAAGATAATATGGGAAGAAAACTGCACTTCACTTTGCGATGTAAAGTCTCGCAAACATCGTCGCTATCGAAAGAGTAAGGACGCATATGGCAGTAAGGATGGCAAATTTGAAGGAGAGGTATGAGAACTGTCCTCTCGAATTCTGTCTAGACCTTATCTGGTGTTAACTTTCTTCAGAAGCCCTTTGAACGCGAATTCTCCTTTCGAACTTCCGTAGGTCAGGCCATAATGCCAGGTTTATGCCGCCTCGATTCGGGGTCCGACATACCACTTGTAGTTTCGAGAAGATGGGTGAAAGAGACTGGTAAAGAAGCCGAGATATCAACCGACTTTAAAAGTCCATCCTCATATAGTCTCAGCGGACATGTGATGGAATTCACCGGCATTATTCGAAACCTTGTGTTTAACCCTAAAGGCTCTTCAACAACATATCGCAGAGACTTCTTGGTTTGTGATCAACTGGATTCTTTTGTGGATTTCATCATTGGTGCAAAGTTCATCATGGAGGAATGGCAGGTCTTGTTTGGGAACATGAAGAGACGGATTGCCGGGTGGTTCAGTCACAAGAAAGAAACGCCCCTAGAACAAGAGGAGGCTCAACTCCTTAAAGACAACCAGGAAAAAGAAGCGCAAGAAGCTGAACTTCGTCGTCAGGACAAGAAAGATGCTCAGCGCAAGAAAGAGAAAGATGCCCGCCAGAAACAGCAAGAGGCTGATAAGTCTCCTGTTGGCGAATAAGACAATAATAAGAATGGATTGAACCGAGAAACTGAGTCGCAATAGATCCTCGTTGCCATGACCTATCTCCCTGCTCTACAGCTGACAGCTTGTCCGTAGATCGGCGAAAAGAGGTGTTCCGCGTCTCTCCATTCGCCTGGCAACGAGTGTTTAGTATCACCACCAGATTCTTGGGTGTCCATTCTATGCGTTTACATCCTTTATTTTTCTGTTTTGCTTTTGGGAAATCCTGTTGACGGGATGAGGAAGGCGGGAGGAGCTTGGATGGTATTCACAGACGACGCTTATAGACTACTATTATTCATACTACTTGACGAAAATGTATCCATGAGGTGATCTTTTGAGGTACACTTGTAACTTTTTGGTCAAAATCTGTAATTTCTGTAAGTTGATGATGCACATGAAGATACATGCAATGAATTAAAACCGGCATGTTTCGTTTTCTTGTGCATCCTAGTGATCCAAACTTTGTGTCACATGACCCTAAAATAAAGACGCGACATGCACGTTCAAACTACGCGTCTCACCAGCTTCTCTTTGAGTATAATTCAACAACCACAAATTCGAATATGGAGTCCAGCGACCCAACAATAATTGATCTTAAATCTTCATTCCTACGAGCACAAATCTTCGCACTCTCTCAACCTCTTCAACCATCTCAAGAATGGCAAGATTCGATATCGGAGGAAGAGAATACTTTACGACAACGCGCAATTGATGAAGCATTATTCAAGCTCAATACTATCCTGAAACAACATAACAAGATCAGCTACCCTCCGCAGGCACAGCGACATGTTGCTGAACAGATCGATCAATTATACTGGGCTGCAGGGGAGAGAGATGTTAATGTGAATGGAGAGGAGTGGAGCGAAAAGGGCGCTGACTATCGTGAGTTCCATCAATCATATCAATCAAGGCGTAGTAGACTTATGCTAATCAATATCTCAATCGACAGGCTTGTCATCTAACATTGAAAAATTACCAGAGGAGTGGAGCGAAGAAGCAGAAACGAAAGCACCTAAGCAAGCTGCGAAATACAAAGAGCTTCAAAATAAACTTTCGGGACTAAATGAGAAGCGAAAAGCCGCAAAGGAGAAACTTGAACAATGTAAAGCTGCCAAGAAATTACTAGAACCTTTTGATCAAGCGGATAAGAATATACAAGAAAATATTGTTACCAAGAACGGGGAAATCGAGAAAGAATTAGAGAGGATGAGGATGTTGATGTTGAGAGTTGAAAGGGGTATCGTAGGGCTAGAGGGGAAAGATAGGGAGGATCATATGGATGTTGACTTGGAAGAGGATGATAGGGAGAAGCTTAGGTTCTTAGGAATTACATAACACGATTGGCTTTATTCGATAGAGGACGAGGAAGAGACAGTCTTTGTTAGGTGAGTTTGTTGTAAAGAATTCTTTATCTTCCTGTCACTTATTAGCAATCCAGACAACAAAGCCGTCAAACATGATCGATCCGGCACTTCGCTTTAATTAGCTTCGAGTGTATATTGAACACACTTCAACTTCGCCCAGTACACTTAATCTTGTTTCATCATACCGAAATTTACACAAAATGAGTCTGTATCATATCAGCCTTCCATGTACCGACTTGAAAGCATCAGAAGAGTTCTACGCAACCGTATTAGAGCCTTTAGGCTATAAAACGTACCTTCAAACTCGTAACAAGACTTTCTTTAGACCAAGCTTGTCGTTTCACCCTGAAATTTTCTTGAGACGTGATAGACCCTATGGGCCAATTGGAGGTACTCGTATCACCATTCATGCATCATCCAGATCACAAGTCGATAGATTTTATGTTCTCGGACTGTACGTGTTTCCATCATTTTTCAACAATTACTAATAAGACACTAACTCCATCTGCAGAGCCAAATCTAACAACATCCAAAGCGGAGAGATTATCGATTATCGACATGCCTATGCAGCTTCTATCGTCGACTTTGACGGCAATGTCATTGAAGCAATTTACCTAAAATCACGGGTGCCCAAGGTCATCACCCCATTCCCAATGACCCCGGCAGCGATTTTTGGCGCGCTTTATCTGACAGTTGCTTCTTCTATCTTCAGGGTACTTGGAGGGTGGTACTATTTTATCTTCAACACAATAGGGATATTGATGATTGCAGATCTTGTTTATGTCGAGCTTGATCCGGAGAGGTCAACACAGAGATTAGAAGATTCTGGACTGCTGAGCCTCGAGAAACGAGACAAAACGTCGAGGGCCAGGCTAGCATATAGGGATATGGATCAAACTTTAGGATAGTTGTACAGAGATTTGGAGATTTTGGCTCGTTAAACATCGACTAATATCAAGTGGTTCAACGCACTTCCATGTCTAATTGTGCGTGGTTGACAAAGTGTATGATTTTCTTACAGTCATAATGCCCTTCAATCATCTAGTGAAGCTTCAGTTCAAGTACCAAATCTACGTTGGCCTCTACATTTTCCATTGAAGTCTGAATATAGAAATGTTATGTTAGCTAAATCTTGGCACTCGCATATCACGGCATCCAAGATTTGATTTGCGCGCGCTAGAAACGCCATCGACGGGTAATACCCGTCTGGTATCACACTACTACTAGTTTCCCCAGTGGATCCCATGATGTGTGATATTGACATAAGCAATCCATGATGTCATGCATTTCTACTAAACCAGCTTGTCAACGATATAGCTCATTCATGGAAGCTTTTGGGGGGAGGAGGGAGTTTGCGTCGTACTCTAACAAAATTCCATCAGAATTAATTCATCATACTCAATTACGAGAAGTAAAATGCCATTTCCCTACAAAACTGTAAGCCTACTCAATCGTCCATCGTCAATTTCGTCTTTGCTGAGATAACAAACCAGGTACTGGTGGTTGGCGCCACCTCAGGTATTGGGCTTGCCCTCACTGAGAAAATGCTTTCCGAAGGCGTTACCAAAATCATAGCTTTGGGCCGTCGTCAAGATAAACTGGATGACTTACAGAAAAAACATGGAGATTCGAAAGTTTCAACCGTGAAATTTGATATTACGAATCTTGAGGGTATTCCCAAGATGGTTGAGGGGTATGTTGACCATATATTTCGATCAATTGCCACTAAACGAATACTGATGGATCAAACTTCACAGAGTCCTCAAATCCCACCCCTCCCTCGACTGCGCATTCCTCAATAGTGGAATACAACGATCTCTCGATTTCACCCAACCCTCATCCATAGATCTCGATCTAATTTCTACAGAATTCACGACTAATTATCTCTCCTACGTTCATCTTACTAAAGCACTTCTTCCACATCTACAGAATAGAGTCAAGGGTGGCGAAAACGCGGGATTGATATTCACGACTAGTGGATTGGCTTTAGTACCCATTGTATGATGTGGAAATTATTGTGCAAGTAAAGCTGCTATGCATCAACTAATTCTCGTTATGCGGGAACAGTTGAGAGATGTGGGTCAGAGCGAAAGTGGAAATACTGCGGAGGAACAGACTTCGGGGGAGAATAGAAAGAGTAAGGGTGTACAGGTTATTGAAATCTATCCGCCGGCTGTTCAGACGGAGCTACATGATGAGAAACATCAGCCGGATATTAAAGATGGCAGGAATATGGGAATGCCGTTGGATGAGTTTACGGAAGAAGCGTGGAGAGGATTGGAGAGGGGCGATGAAGATATTCCTGTGGGGACGACGTGGAAGGGATTTGGGTATGAGGAGGTGGAGATGAGGAGGAAGAAATTGTTCGGCGAAATGATGGAAAAGATGAAAGGGAACTAAGGTTGTGTCAAAGATGGGAGGGAAGCTAAAGATACGTTTCGGGACAGGCATGGGTGAACTGTATATTGAATATTGTGAATGGTTCAAATGGGAAAAGCAATGTGCTTAGACTATATAAAGCTGTAGTCGCCTCTGAAAAGTAGCTATACTCAAGCTCGACATGATAGATGTATCATGCAACTGGGAATCAAGTCGTCCGTCGAATATTTACAGTCCTTCGCGTTCATATGCCTCGTCTCTTAGTACTCAAGATAATACGAATATCCGACATTTCTCCCAAGCGAGACGCCCTCTCATCCATGTGCTTCGATAGGTATACAATCGATATTCACTTGCGCAAATACTGTTCGATGCCTGACTATATAAACACCATGATTTCTTCAAGTCATCACCTCTCCATTACCAAAAGAAACAGCGGACCACTACTTCGAAGGTTAGTAATTCCATTGGTCTGTCATACAAAATGTAGCATCAACTCTTGACACCGCAATACAAGCCCATCATTCTGTTAATTTGTCGTGGGCCAAATATCCTATTATTTCAAATGACAATTGAAGTTTTCGACAGTGATGAAGATTAGACATTTCGAGTGCATTTAGATGGTAATGTTCAATGACAGTGTCTAGATTACTACAATGCAAAGAAATGGGATATATACGCCAGCCTCAGTCTTCGTAATCTACTGAACGAATCCTGTGTTATTGTTTTTATTCTTCTGGATCTTTGATCGGGGCTTTGCACTCCTGAAATGCCTTCACGGCAGGTCAAACCGAGTCAGTATGGATAAAACTCACAACAGAACGGCGCCTTTATATTTATCCACGCAAAGCACAAATGGATTGTGACCATCATTCATCATACCAACATCAAACTCAAATTCTAGACCTATTTCGGAGCCTGATTAGTGAATCCTAATCTAGCCATCCTCGGAATATTCAGTCGTCCTGTATTAAACACATCAAATGGGTTCGTACACATCAAAATTTATGTGGCACTCAAGATATTCTCCAGCAATCTTAGGAACTATTGCTCGGAGCTAGTTCGTAACTGAATGGTATGATCCTATTGCTTGCCATATAATTACACGACAAAGATACGGTTCGTCTGTGTGCCCTGCATGTTTCGAAGGATCCGCTGTCATTATCATTGAGATCTATCCAATGGATACTCTTCTGACAGCAGGGGCGTGTAAGAGTGGAAGTGACAGTGAATGCTGTCAATACACTGATCATTCCACGATATGTTCGCGGAGTTGAATATGACTCCCCCTACGTTGGAACTATACACGTCTCCCGAAGCTTCAGCTTGAGGGTTCTTTAGGAGTGAGCTGTCTTTCTGGCGAATGCGGATGTTGGCTTCCGCAGCTTATTTGGTTCCTGGAAGTTAACTTTTTCACTACTTGGTACCAATCTATGGATACCTCTGAAATGGGCACACAAATCAAAAATTCCCAGAATTCGCTCACCGCCTTTAATTTTGAGAGACATAGGTATTTCCGATATAGAAGATTGATTGCTTCATCACTCGAATAAACAGTGGACGAAGTATAAAATGGGATTGAAATCTCATCCGCATGCATCCATGGCTTCGTTGAGTGAAGACATCGGTAGCATGATAAAATTTCACCCCCATATAAACTCTCGGTCTGCGTGAACAAGATGTTTTGCAAGTCTTGCAAGTCTTGCAAAACTTGTATTGAGTGTTTGAGACACATGATAATTCTCTAGATTATTATGAAGCGACGAACAGTTCGTGATTTGTGCAGTCGAAACAGGCTACAATCCATCGTAAGGTCATCCATTACACCAATGTCAAAAGTGTACGAAAGTGCGCCCCACGCAAAATTCACCCACTATCCACCCACTCCTCACTTCCCAACCTCATCGTCGCCTAACACTCGCCCCACAAAAACTCAATCCAAACCTCTCACAACCAACTATTTCAAAAATGATATCTTCGAAATAGAAAATAAGCAACAAAGACAAAAAGAGCAAAATTTCAACACGTCTTGCGACGCTGTAAATCCCAATCAACTTCGTACTATAGAATGACTGTACCAAGCTGTCCCCTATTTGGCCCGATTGAGAGGGCCCCGATTACTATGGCATGGGTGGAGGCGTTACGTAGACCACTGTACCACGGGGATATGTTTGGTGAGGTATGTGAAGACTTTGGGGGATATATAGGAGAGCCTGTCTGATGAGTTAGGGAATGGGAAACTGGTTATGGGAATTGGGATAAAGGATATGTGATGCGATTTGGGAACTCCGGGATAGAATAACTAAGTTCCATGTCTTTTTTCCTGTTTCTTGATGATAACTTCAACATTCGCGATTGAAGCTCTTATTGAATTGTTCTTGGTTGGTGTTGTATCGTGTATGTCGCGAACTATCTGGCGGTCATGGGCAGCAGAATTCTTCCGACGATGTTTACAGGATGCCTTCAATCCATGTCTTATGAAATATTGATACTGACATTTTTATGGTAAGATCGTCGTAAGTATTAACTGCGGTAAAATGAGGAGGAAAAAACTACACTTGAAGATATCTTTTTAATCGCAATGAAAACAAACTTGCTTTCCACAATCTCCTTTGTGCCATGCCGGCTTGAGTGTTCATTGAATCGCCAAACATACATATGTGTGATTAGACAGTCTAATCTATTTGCGCTTTAAATTTAGGTGTGTGTTGTTCATGGAGTAATTGAGTTTTACCTTTGGTCTAGGTCAGACTTAAACACAGAGTCCACTGCCGCCTTTGTAAGAGAGATCGAAATTCATGTTCAACTGACCGCATGAGATACCAAAAAATTACTTTGATGGATCGGGATCTTTGCAACTTGCTGCCACAAGGCCAATTAATGTGCTACATGCTAATGTCAAAATCGTGCCGATTAGGTCCTCCTGGTTCAATGATTTCGGTAACGGGAGATGCCTACTCTCGAGATATGGGATCGCTGCCGAATGATATCAAGCCCCGCTTGGGGAGTAAATACAAACACCCAGAAACCTCTGGTCAACGGGCTATGAAGAAATTAATATCGATTTGAGGATCAATGCTAAAGTATAGCAGAACCATAGGATCACTTGACTAAACTCTTTTCGCGAATTGCTTTTTTGGATCTTGGATAGACTTTATGTTCGCTCCACGCAAGGTACGAAGAACCTTAGAACTCACACTTTTAGTATTATTGCGTCGAGTGGATACAAAAGTACTCATAATATAGATCTAATAGATCCCGAACGTGGAAGTGGCTATTTGCTCGTGGTCCACGCTCCTGTAGCATAAGATGAGGAAGTGGCATGTGGAAAGACGTGATTTTATGATATTAAAACCAGTGCGAATCTGGAAACAAATACTTAGTCAATCACTTATTAATTAGTGTAACTCGCGTCATCGTAGTATAGAATTGACTTTATTGAATCACAATTACTCAATTACGCAGATTCATCCTCATACGTTGGGAAGCTTGGCCTTGGGACTTAGGTGTCGGGCTGAGCTGCTGTAATCTAGAAAGCCACATTGTATACTCCACATGGATCAATAGACATGAAAAGAAATTACAGTTGGCAGCAAGAGATATCTAAAGTAGAAACCACGAGATATATTCACAAGATTTCGAACATTAGCGCCCACAGAAGATAATGCGCACGGCTAGGGCAAGAAAGAGACCGCGAGGATAACACTGCATTATTGAACTTCATATGGATGTTGATTCTGACGCCATATCGTTTGAGCTTAATGGCGATAAAATCTATCATATGGAAGACGAAGGGGTGGCGGGGAAGGCGAAAGCGTTAAGAAGGGGGTGTCTTCGAAGATAGGGGGTTCATATGACATCATTGTCGTCTAGGGAGGGGTAGTTGAAACGGAGAAGGGTTGATTGAAAGGTTCAAAGAAAAATCATTATCATCTGAAGCCCTGAATCAAAGATCAAACTTTTGCTATATAATGTGAACGTGTTGATACTTCATCTGAGAACCCCTTATTTCACCTGTCTAACTTTAGACAGAAGTTTATTCTCCAGCTGTGTTAGATACTTTAGAACAACTGATGCATGCAGCCTTTCAATAAACTCATAACAGAATCTGTATTCATGTATAAGACCCATTTGATATAAAGATTCATGTTAATCAATCATCTTTGATAGAAACTACTCATTGTTCATTGATGTCTCACGCTTTCTAGCTCACTGAGCCGATATTTGGTAAGACTATTCTCACTTTGACAGTCTTCCCACCTGTAATATTGAAAGTACATTTCGAAATCAGATAAGAACATGTCCAGTGAATAACAATCAAAATTTAACTTAATCATGCTTTCATCATATCTTCATTTTCCCTCATTCCTCCTTCTAACAAAGTTCTTCCAATTTTCTTCCCCATCGACTCGTGATCTGGAACAACATTCCCCGACGCTCGGATCACCCAAATCAATAAACCATGTCTCCAACTCCATCAATCAAGAGCTTACAGCTTGCTCCCCAGCCCACCAAATACGATCCCATTGTATTACCCAATTCCGAGTTACTTACTGGCGCCGTCGAATATCCCACTCGAAAATCAAGCCTTGCCAATCTACCTCCTGATAAGAAACCTACCACCATGACTTCCAGACTCGTCCTCGTAATTGGCGATTTGCATATCCCAGATCGAGCTATTGATGTTCCTCAGAAGGTATGATTTCTTTTGCGCTTCCTGCACCTGATTCTCTTGATTGCTGATCTTTAAATTACAGTTCAAGAAGCTTCTCACCCCGGGAAAAATTGGCCAGACTCTCTGTCTCGGAAACCTCACCGATCGTCAAACCTACGACTATCTCCGCTCAATAACCCCCGATCTGAAGATCGTTCGCGGCCGCTACGATACCGACGCTACCTCTCTTCCACTCTCCCAAGTCGTTACACATGGCTCTCTTCGCATTGGCTTCGTTGAAGGCTTTACCATTGTTGCGCCCAACGAGGTTGATTTATTGACTGCCGAAGCCAATAAGTTGGACGTTGATGTATTGTGCTGGGGAGGAACTCACAGGTTTGATGCCTTCGAACTTGACAATAAGTTCTTTATCAATCCCGGAAGTGCGACTGGTGCGATGACTACGGGCTGGATGGAGCCGGGTGAGGAGATTGTTCCTAGTTTCTGTTTGATGGATGTAAGTTCTCTATTCTTGCGCACTTTGCTTGAGCTACAATTTATTCGCCCATTCCCCCTCCTCCCTCAAACACCCAGCTAACTTTCCCCCTTCCTCTAGGTCCAAGGTCTCGGTCTCACCCTCTACGTCTACCAACTGCGCACCAGCGAAAAAGGCGAAGAATCCGTCTCCGTCGAGAAGATCTCTTACACCAAGGTTCTCCCTCCCACCACCGCCGCCTCCAGTTCCACATAATGATACCCCATTTCTCCACCACATTTCCATTTAAAGAAGTGCTTTTCCTTCTGCTTTCCCCTGCGGTCGCCAGTTACAAAAAAGTCCTTTGGCATTTACGGTGTTTGGGAATCTTGATCTTTTGCGGGATGGGGGTACAATTGATATGATATGACATGATATGATGGCATAACGATAGACTATGACTGCTGGAGAGAGAGATACATGCACATAATACCAGAGAGCTAGACTTTTCTTCCTCCTATTTCAAGAAAAGTCTTGCCATATTCATCCACGGAGGTGAACGAATGGACGCCTACTGGATACCAAACAAATAGGATTGCGTACGATACCACCTAATGATACATAACATACAATGAAAATCACATTTGTAGCGCAAGCTACTCATTTGCGAATCATTGCAATGCAGAAATTGAGAATTGAAGAACAATGTTCGTGATTCGACGATAAAAGAGAGATTTCATTGATATCATATTCCGCTTCATAAAACTGAGAGAATCGAAAAAAACTAGAAAACTAAAACTACTTTTGCGCCATTCATCAAGACCAAAGAAGATATGCGCATAGCATATTAGAACCGCTGTAAGCTCATTAATCATCCAATCCAATCCCATTACTCCCGATTTTAATCCAATCTATCACAACCGATTTGATCCAATTCAATTGAACTCAACGCAGAAGAAATTAAGAATATTCTATAGCCCAAACTTGACTTGTAAGACACCACTCATCATAACATCATACTCCTCCTCCTCGAACTTATCCTGTCACTCCTATTCGCATTCGCTGCGGCAGCTCCCGCCATACTCGTGCTACTGACACTTTTCCTCAAGGATTTATCCGAGGAATCCGTGGTATCCCTCTCCGATTCGTGACCTTGAGCCGACGCGCTTCTAGCTATTGTTGAAGAGGGTAATGCCGATTGTCTTCTTCTTGAACCTGATTGTGATGATCCCGTTGATGCCGAAAATTTTCTCGCTGGTTCGAAGTCCTGATCTCCTACTGGAATAGTGGAAGCTCTTCTAGAAAAACGTGATGATGCTCTATCACTTTTCTCTTCTTTTATGACTTTGGGTTCTTCAGAATCGCGTTGGGGGGAACCTTGAAATTCATATATATCCATATCTTCAAGAGCTACTTTTATATCGTCGCCTTTAGCCGACTGTTCCTTTGATTTCGCTTTTATTTTCCTCGACTCTGCTAACAGCTCCGCGACTGATTTTGATCCTGATGCTGAAGATCCCGACTCTGTGAGATATAAAATTGACTCGCGACGTCTTCGGTGATCTGTGATGCTGCTTGGTAACATATCAGGAAGTGGTGCAGAAGCTTTGCTAGTTAGTGGACTGTGATCTGCGTTTGATGCGGTTGATAGTTGTTTCCAGGAATCTTCCGATTCGGGTTCTGCTTTGATTTTGCTTATCGTCGTCGGACCAGCTTCCTCATCTACTCTAATGGCACGAACTTTGCCATCGGCTGTGACGGCGTTCACAAATTCCTTTCCGGGTCGGCGCATTTTGTCTCGAAGATTGGGTTCCGCATAACTTATCGAGCTTCGAGCTCGTCGACTTGGTCGTTGACCTTCAGCAGATTCCCTCATCTCTGAAGGCGGTGGAGTATCACGAGATTCCACTCGAATGTTGGTTGACGGATGCGATGAAAGAGGCGAAAAAATATCGACAGGTGCAGGCGTCTCTGGTTCCGCCTGCATATTGAAGACCTGCAGTGGAGCTTGCATGGTTTGTTGAATAGGTTCGATATTTTCCATCTTCTTCTCTTCGCTCGACATCTCCTTCGATAGGCTTTCCTTGAACAGATTCAACTTGCCTGGCTTGATCCCATCGTGATTGGAATTCCTGCTGCTGGCTCCTTTCTTAGGGGAATTATTCACACTTTTGGCTGCCAGAACCTTTCTGGTGCTAGGAGCTAAAGCCGGCTTGTCTTTCGACAATCCTTTAGAGCTCATAACATCCTTCAATGGCTTTGTATTCTCTTTGGCTGACGAGACTGCCGATTTTGTCTTCGCTCGTTCCTCGGTAGATACACGTGTGAATTGGAAATCGTCGATATCATTAACGTTTGTCGACTCCAGTTCCTCGTCTTCTCTTGCACTAAGCTTCCTCTTTGCACCTGATTTGAGTGTTCCCGTATTCTCTCGTTTTGCCGGAAGTTCCAATCGGCTGTTCCTCCTAATATCAGAAGCCACCATACTATCCTTGCGTTTCTTCCTCTGCTCGAGATTCGTTGATGTTATTGGATCCAGACAAGGCTCATCTTCCCTCTCATAGGCTAATTTTCCTGCCAAATCAATCTTTACAGGATCTTCGTCGACAAATTGTGATACTGGTGGCGGCCCGATATCAGGTGAATCTTCGTTCTCTGCTACCACTTCAGCTAACATATTTTCGATTTCCTGATGTCTATGAATTGTTAGCGTGCAAACTTCAATATATCCAATATTGCGCAACATACTCTAAAGTTTTCCTGGGATAATATTTGTTTTCCAAAATGGGGGGTAATTTGCCATCCGGGCTACCGATGTCTTCACTCGATGAAGCCATCTTTTTCCTTGGTGGCATTTTGCGCTCCGGGCTTGTACCATCCTCGTTCAATGGATCCAGATTATCCCACTTGTTTTCCTTGGGGCTACGAGGAGGATTCGAACCCGCTCTCAACCCTCCAAATTGCCTTGGAACATGTGGTGATCTCTTTCTTTCTGGAGATTCTTCTCCCAAACCACTTATCAGAGCTCCAATCTCCAGCAATCTCTCTTCGAGTTGTGATTTGACAACACTGACTCTATCTGCAGCTCTTCGAGCCTTTCCATTATCGATCTCACTTCGAAGGCGTAAATTCTCCTCCCGGAGTTCTAGATTTTCGGCAAGAAGTTTCGATGTTTCATTTTCAAGGCTTCGGATTCGAACAGCTTGGGAGGAATTGACGGATGCAATATCGCGATTCTGACGTTTGTACTTGCGCTTGACTATGATTGCATCAGAAAGGCGCCTCTCCATTTTTTGCCAATTGTCAGGAAATCATTGTTTGGGAACTCACGAGATTCAATACTCTCCAACGAAGCTGCAGGCTCATTTAAGCGGGCCATGTGAGCTGGCAATGCATGCGGAATGAAATATGATTAGTAGTACAGTATGAGAAAAAGACGTGAGAAGTTTGAGGATTATTTCGATAATTCTTGGAAGCTACGACGAAGGATTTGTCGAAATAACGGTGATTTCTCGTGATTTCTGGTGATTCTTAGAGTGTTTGTGTACAGTGAAAAATTAGGGTGAATTGATTTGTTTACATCGAACTTGAATTGGTTAGATTGGGGAGCATTGACTCTGCTATCATAAAAGTGGATCAATTTCTCAAATTTGATTGGTTGTAAAAAGATCGCTATCAGTCCCGCCTTGAGTTGTCCACGGATGGAGATTTAATTCATATCAAATTCAATTATCAAGCGTTCTATAATATAAGTCTCCATCTCTTTGCATTGGAGATCCAATATTACAACACTCGGTCTGTAAAGCAAAGATCACAATAATGTCATACTCATCTCGACCCCTCGGTTCGCATCTGCGACAGCAGTCCATGGGTGGTAGTCTGGGTTCATCTTCTGGTCAATCCCCCGTCTTACAAGCGCGCATCAATGAGAAAAGGGCAGAGTTAGAAAATCTAAAGCAACTGCGAGATTTGAGCGCAGGATTGGCTGGACAGATGCAAATGTTGGAAGAGAAACTCTCGACTCTTTCAGATGGAACAGAAGCAGTCGCAACAGTGTTGGGCAACTGGCACAATGTTCTGCAAGCTATTAGCATGGCATCCAGTGAGATATGATTTACTCCTCTCTTTGCCGCGATTTTCTAACTATCAACAGTGAAAATACCGAAACCCAAAGAATCAAACGATGGAGAAGAGGAATTGGAAAAGAGAACGGGACCTGAAATACCATTACCTCAAACTCTAGTCCGAATACCTACAGAGCACGCGCCAATGCTACAACCATCCAAAAATGAAGAATCGAATGAATGAAGAGTACACGCTAAGTCGCTGGGAGACTAGAAGAGAATATACATGCATTTATGACGAGTTTGGTGCATTAAACGGCGCAACAGGCAGATATGGGGTTGTGAGTTTTGATACCAAAATCGGTCTGGTGATGGATCGTGTCCATGTGGGAATGGCTGGTAAAAAGCAGCTGGACTTTTGATGATGACATGATTGACGACATATTAGCAGAGATTGATCGAAAAAGAAAAATGTCGGAAAAGTCATGCAATCTAAACAAATACATGGTGTTGTGGCCTGCATAAGTAGGTAAGATGTGAAACCCAATGACGGAAAGGTCGATGGAAAGGAAGGTTACATTACATCACAGTGAGTAGGAGTTGAATACTTCATCGAAGGAAACAAACTCATCGCCGAAAGTCTTTTGCGTACCTACCAAGGTATTGACGGACAATGAATGAATTTGTCAAGAGCTATTCACCATTTTCATCCCCAAAATAGCTTTAATCAATCATCGCTCACGATTTCACAGTCGCGCCTTTCTTTTTCAGCTGCCGGTTGCTATAGTGATGATGTAAGCTCAAACAAATGAGGGGAAAGGAAGGAAGCTACACTTTCGTAGCGAGCTACTCAAACGAATATTCTCATGATCGATTGAATTTCATTGACTTCACAATTCACATAATTGATAAGAAGAAAGCTCTGATTTTTGGAAAAGAAGATTCATCAAACTTGGTACTACATTTCTATTGACTTTACGAATACGGAATACGATTGTCACTCAAAAATAGAACGCAATTTCCACCCATCCTTGCAAAATCGATTGCTTCTCAATACTCAGATCACATCTAATTTCCGAAACACTATTCGACAAAAGATCGACTGTTTCTAGACTATTTATGACTTTTGACAGTCAAGATGTCTCGAGTAACACGATCAACCACGATCAATATTGTGGAAGATAATACAGCATCCATTGCTGCCCAAATCCCTCTTCCATTGACACCTGCTTCAAAAGTATTGGCTACTTCAACTGTACACGAACTGAATAGCATGGCAGCTCATGATAGCTCAGAAACGGATCTCGCACAACATATGAAAAATCTCAAAGCTGCATATCGAAGTGCTCTCGGTATCACAAAAAAAGGCAAAAAGTACAACAAGAATAAGAACAAGGGAAAGCAAGACTTTTTGACAGACCTAGAGCATACCAAGATTACTGTCCCTGAGGTCGAGCACATCGAGGTTACTACTGTTAATCCAACGTCTGTTCAAGCTACTCCAAACACAGAAACTGTCCCAAGAATTGCTGCAGGCCCACCTGGTGCTCGCTCTACAGACATTGTCTCTAATTTTGAGCTTCCAAGGACGCAAACTGGTCGGCCAAAATCCATTCAACCACCTTACATCATGGGACAGCCTATCTTACCTCACCTTCCACAATTGGGACGAACCACTCGAGGTCAAATTGCAAGACAACAAGCAGGTCAGTATGATAAAGGTGTTTCATTCATTAGAGCGGCCGATACTGGAGATGTCTTCTGGAAACCACCTCAAACTTCTAGTTGTGGTTCATCTCTTTTCGCTGGTTCCCACTTTCCTATGCAGACTGGACCTTTCATTCCATTGAGACTTGACCATAACACTAATCCCCCGGACTATTTAGCAAGGAAGAATAATGACAACATAGAAACAAAGGATGTCGAGTCTTTAACATCAGAAAAACTTCGATACACCCCAAAAAAGAATGATCCTCCAGCTGCTTCTGGCACCTTGCCCTTCACAAAGCAAATCACAACACTCGAGGAGATTGAAAGAGCTTACAAGGCTTCGGAGGTAACATCTTCTGTTCGCCAACGCTCATCTTCCGCCGAAATTGAAGAGGATTCATTCATCGATATAATCATAAATCGATCGCCAGCAAAGCCTGTGTCTCGCATAGAAGACTCTTTGGAAGAGCTCGACAATCTGGAAGATGCCATAGATGCGCTCGATGAAGCTACCACCGTTGAACAATTTGTTGCTACCTCACCCAAGACGGTCAATATCTCAACTGAAGCTTCCTCTGACAGCAATTCGAGAAGACCACCCCAACGAGGACTTGTTGAGGAGCTCCCCGCTGCTGGACTACGTGTTCGCGTACATGATAGTCTAGCTCAAGCAACTTCACAAAGACCCAAATCTACCTACGCAACAATGCGTGTCAAACGTACCACAGCCACCGAACCAACCCTCAAAAAGGCTAAATCTATGTCCTTCGAAAATTTAAGACCTGTTGTCAGTCCGGAAAAGCCAACAATGACATCTCCAAGTAAAGTTCCACGTCCAACTAGTCTCCTTCCTCCAAAATCACCAACGAAATCTACAAAGCCATCCACTAAGCCAGTGTTCGAGCTTCCTGGTGACGCTGTCGCTAAACGATTAAAGGAACAGAGAGAAGCTCGTATTGCGCAACGAGAATCATCCGAAATGACAGTCGTTAGAACTACAACTACACCAGGAAGAATCAAATCCACGAAGCCCCCCACCAAATCTTCTCAATTCGAACTCCCTGGCGAAGCATACTCAAGACGCAAGCGAGAAGCACTTGAGGCAAAACTCAAAGCCCAAGAAGAAGAAGATCGCAAAAGACGTGAATTCAAAGCCAGACCCATAGGTAAAACCGTTGCTTCCCGTACACTTCCCCGCGATGCAGCTGCTAGTCGCGCACGCCAAAGTAAAACGGGAACAACTGGTGACAGTACTGATAGTGGTGGTCTCACAATCGGCAAACGTGGGAGCTTAGTTGGAGGTCATCGTCCTTCAATTCTTGACATGCAAAAAGTAAATGTTATTGGCTCATCACCCCGTACTAAGGCTCTTCCTGCTCCTTTGAATCGCAAAGCGTCGCAACGTCCACAACATCCGAGAATGGCAATGCAGAGAACGGTATCAGATTCGGATCATGAATTGCAGAGACAGAGAGCCAAGGAACTTTATAATAAAGATGCAATGTATACAGCAGATATTGAAAGAGAGAGAAAGGAACGGGAGATGGCAGCTATCAGGGCAAGGGAAGAGGCGGCAGAGAAGGGAAGGGCGGCTAGTAGGGAGTGGGCGGAAAGACAGAAGGCCAAAGCAATGGGTGAGGTGCTTACTAGTCCAAAGTCTTCTACTTTCTTTTGAGTGAAGGTTGATCAAATTGTTTGTGGTGTTTTCGGTGTTTTAATTTGGCTTTAAACTGTCTGGAATCAGTATGCTCGGCTTAGGATGCTTACATGGATATATGAGCCTACGCGTTAGGCACCCGTATACGTTATTGTCAATTTCTTCGTGTCGGACTTGGCTTTTGAAGTCTGATATTATACGTTCTTTTCAGTTTAATATCTTAGGGGGGTTGTATTGTTCGGAACGGGTGGACAGCACGCTTCTGGATCTTGTTTTAAGTCAAGGAGTTTAAAATATATGGTTATGCTCACGGTATGGTGTACAGCACATACATATATTCCCGGGGAGTAGGGGGTGTCCTAATATATGAATTTACAAGGAAGGGGGAGGGCCGGGAGGTTTGATTTAGCGGATTGGTGGGAATGTGGTGGACTTGGTTGAGTATTATACCTTGGGGGAGAATGAATCGGGAGTTTGTATAGGTTATTGGAATGGATTGGTCTGTACAGGAGTATCTCGAGACTGTAATTTTCAGCTCGAAAAGTAAGGATGGAGATGTATGCGAGATGAATCGATTGCTCGTCTTTGTTGGGATGGGGCTGGGGACTACATGATTATTGGTGGGCGGTTCAGTGTATTTTGTATTGATAAGTAATCATATGAATTATTAAAATGAGGAATAGTTGCTATTCTCTAGTTTTCACATTTCATATGGAAGTCAAGTTTGTGTGTGATTGTGTACAGGAGAGTGTAAGTCTTCACGTTCACACTGGTAGTTCATACAGTATACCTCTTCACGGAGAGATTACGTTGCTCACCAGTAGTGAGTGAGTGGTTGCTTGCACTGTTCGAATGAATTGGTTCTACAAAATCAAAAAGATCATCGACAAATATTTTCATTCTCCTCATCATCATTTCCTATTCTTGTTCTTGTTATCACTCTCCGTATCCTTGGGTCTTACAACCGTCCAAAAGACTTCAGTGAAACCTGGTGAGGTTATCATTGCATGTTTTGTTGATGTCGGATATATATCCTCCCATTAAGCTTCTCACACATCGAATTCTAATCCTAATCTCAATCTTAAGCTTAGTAGACTATCAAATAATCAGCCGATTCTGATTTCTCCGACCTTTAATCAGCCCCGGCATCATTTGTTTGTGAATGAGCCATGGGTATTTGGTACATGGATGGATATATGAGAAATTAATATGGGTTTCAGGGAGGGGAATTTGTTTAATAGATAGGTTGTGAGCATTTTTTTTTGAGGGGGGGGGGGTACACTATGAAGGGGATGTAGCTGTATTTAAAGGGGATCTTGTGCGGGTTGGGAAGTTGGGGGGGTATGGATGGTTGGTTGGATGAATGGATGATCTTGTAGTTTGTTAGGTGAACGTGAGTGAAATTGGGGGATAAAATGGATTGTGTGCGTATGCATCTAAGCTTGACGGCAATTTGAACTTTGCGAGGGGTTTTGAGGATATTGTGGAGGGCAGATTTGAGGACATAGGATTTATTGATAGCAGGTAGAGGAAGAAAGGACGTCTGTGATTTTTTTTGGTATTCTTGATGAAAGAGGTATATGATATGAAGAAGGGGATGAGGTTTGTGCGTCTATCTTGAACCTTCGCGATACTCGAGACTAATCCTGGGATATAGATTGCTGCTTCAGGATTTTATGGTATAAAAAGATTTTTGAGGTCAGTGACACAAAAACTAACTTGGATAGTGCAATAGAGATGGAAAACGGAAGGGAAACTGATTCGTGGCGGAGGGGTATTTGGGGCTTTCTGTCGATCATCTTGCATAGGGATTTCGTGGTGATTTTGAGTATTCGGGCAGTGGTGTGATAGGTAACTTTTGCGAAGACGCGTGGGTT